ACCTAATCTACTCTAAAACTGCTGTTTTGTGGTGCGGATTTCATCCAATGTACAAATTATTAAAAATAAGGCTGATGCCCAATAGTAAGAGAAATTAAATTGTTCTGAATTTGGTTTTTTGCAACAGATGAATTGGATAATGAGTCTTAATGTCCAAATTTTCTGGTTTGCAACAGAAAGATAGACAACGAGTCAAAATAATAATGGTGAAAGGCACATATATATATCGTATTGAACGGTTTGACATCATATAATCCGGCCGAGCATTTCACGAGTTTCGAATGTATGCAAGAAACGAGTTAAAATGCTCGGCAGGATTATATGTTAAACCGCTCTAGATTTTTCCTGTTCTCATGACCTTATTTGGTAAAATCACGTCATTGGCATATAATAAAAAAATCGTATAGTATTGAATTTATAAGATTTACTTTAACCGATAACTTATAAATCAAAATAATTCTTTCCTTTCCCAAAACATTCCCCGATTATTTTACAAAATTCGCATAATTATTTCGGACATGTTGGAATATTGGTTTTGTTCACCTTTATAAGTGATTTAGTGATTCTAGAAAGCAAACGGTTGAGCGTTTTGATCAGAGTTAAATTTCAATGGATAAAAATGATGTAAAGTATTTCATGGATCCATTATTCCATCTGAAGCTAACGCTGTAACGCCAGAAAAAAGTTATTGGGGTAATTTTTCTGGACACCCTATACAGTGTTTTGACAATGTACGAACCAGTCCTACAATACCTTTTAATTTATATTCTATTAACTCAAGCAAAAAGAGTCTAAATTAAGAGAAAGGTTAAAAAGTTTATTTTTATTTTTTGCTTTGTGGAAAACACAACGTATACCAGTCCTATAGATATTATTGCTTTCGATCCGTAAGCCTGGTCTTCAATAGGACTAAAATAGCCCAGCTTTACTAAATATATACTTACAAAGAACTCTAGACATTAAAGATGCGGTACAGTCCGATCTGCGCATGTGCACAAAGGAGCCCTCTTTTTATTTACAAACAGTTTATTTAGGTTTTTATTTCATTTTATGCTCTATGTTTTATTGTTGTCTCTTGATAATTTATTATACTCTAGAATCATGGAAATATAAATAGTTGTCGAATAAAACGCAATATTTTGGATACCGAAATGTAAACAAAGCCTTTGTTTACATACGGACTGTACCGCATCTTTAAAAGTTGAATGCCTGGCTATCTGAACTATACAGTAGGCAACCTCATTGCTACATACCTAAGGGAACTATCGGTAAGACCAGTATAGACTTGTTGAAATGATCCATTCTGAATTAATGACTCAATTATGAAAATCCTTTAAACAAGTAAAGTTACAGATTGAATTTCCATAGCACCGTATATATTAATGATATTACGTATCTTAGTAAATGTTACAATCAAATAAATCGTAGTTTACGTAACATACCCCCATTCGACGTTGGCATCGTTTGTACAACACATTTTAACAATATCAGTGATAAGCGAAAGTCCTTCGCATGCCGTGCACAATTCGGCTCTACAATAAAAAACAGTAAAAGAACTAAGAATATAATTTAGTAAATAAATTGATGCAAAGATGCCAAAGTAAGATAAATTGAATCAAATCAAACATGTAAAATGAAAATAAAATAAATGTTGGCGAAATATGCATGCATGATGCTTAAGAAATTTATAACATTTTGTCTTTATCTGCATGCTCACACAGTTAAAAATATACAACATGACGTAATAACCGTGTGGTGTCTGTTTGTTTTACGTATTAAACTGAGTTAAACTTAGCTAGTACCGAAACGTTTTGGGGAGTGTTAAATGAGTCTATGCTCTAACAAATCATGGCTCTCTAAAAATAAAAAGGCTGATAGAACCTATATTGAATAATTAATACATATGGATAACATTTTGTCTGTTCAGTTATTAGATGTCAGTATGACGTCATAATGTGGTAAGAACAAAAAAGTGGCCCACGAGCCGCCGGGAAGAGTGAGTCACTGATGTGAGTAGTAGAGCTGTGCAAACTCCGGTTATTTTAGCTCCGGCTCCGGGTCCGGCAGTCAAAACTCCGGCTCCGGCAAGAAATTTATAAGGAAATTCCATATTTAAAAGTGGAAGCAGGCGAAAGTATTTCAGTGTAATTTCAGAATTTATCTTTTTTAAAAACCTTTTTACAACACTATTAATAGTAAACCACATAGTAATATATAGTAAAACAACATATAAATAGTAATATATTAGTAAACAACAACTTAATTTTCTCATTTAATGCAAAATGTTCGTTGAAATATGAAATAATTTTTCATAATTTTGTCTGCCCGAGTTTTTGCCGGAGTTTTCCAACTCCGGCTCCGGCAAAATATGCCGGAGCTCCGGCTCCGGCGCCCAGCTCTAGTGAGTAGTCAATTTATCCCGGGCGTTCTGTGACCCCCGTCCGCGATCAAATCAGATCATGTCAGCAGCTCAACATTTAGCATTAATTAACACAATTCGAATTCGCGCGCAAATTATGAAAATTGGCGCGAACTACAAAATGGCCCAAAGTGACAGCGAAATAACATTTCTAAAAAACAATTTATCGAATTTTGAAAGAAGGGGCAATTTAATAATAGTAATTTACAATAAAACAGTAGTAACTCCCCTGTGTTGTCTAGTACCTCCACACTTATTAAACTGTGTTGTATAGTAATTCCACACTTAAAAAATAAACCTGACCCGAACTCTAACCCTAATCTAACCAAAAGGTATTGTATAAAGACAATCTTAGGAAAAATCTTACAGAAAAAAATACGAGAACGAAAAACAAAAGGTTGGCCATCGCGGGATTTGAACAGCCAATTAGCAGCATGTGAGAACGCGCGAACGCCCTAAACAACCACACCACCGGCACTCGCGCGCTGAAATACAAATGCAGAAAATCTAAATATATACTGGTATAAACATATATAAATAAAAGGATCCGCTGACATTTTGTAGTATATTCTCACTGGGAGTTTTCTCTCACAATACCATACATGTATACTTTGAATATTTATGCATGAGATGATCAGTTAGTCATCCATATACACCACGTGATTGTCAGACAGTATAAAAGTAGCACAGAATCGGTAGCTTTTGAGCATTTGCGGATTTACCACCGAAAGGGAAAGACGGCACTGAAACTTTTTGGGTACCCACCCACCTCCCCTCGGCTGCGACACTTCCGGACCTAGCTTCGCCGCACTCTACCTTTGGCTGAAAATTATTTATCCCCAATCTGAATTCCCTCAGTCAAAGGTATTGTGCGGGGAAAGCGAGCAGTGAGAATATATTACAATATAGAGATGGTAAGACATTTATTGTTTTTTCTAGCCACGTCAAAGACCTCAAATTTCAGAGGGGTTAGTTTGCGAATTTTCGCAGGTAATTTAATTTGTATGTACATGGGAATGTATTTTTAGACAAAATAAACTATAAACCAGTCATATTTGTTCTTCGATGGTAAATATTCGAATGATGGCCCATGCATCTGAAAATATTTCCACTTTCTAAAGTTGTAGATGTAAAATATTCAGCGATTTTCAGCGATAAAATTCCTTGGGAATTAAAGAGGAATTAAAGTAAAACCTCAAGGTAAAACCTTCGAACTTCGGGCGATGTTATTTAAGTAATTTACTAGATGCCGCTGACATGTTCTGATATGATCGCGGACGGGGGTCACAGAACGCCCGGGATAAATTGACTGCCACTGTGGTGCATACCACATTATCATGTCATATACTGTGTATCTATAACTAAACAGACAACGGCAAAATGTTTTATATAATAAAAAGCAAAAAAAACACAGGAAAAAATCTATTTGTTTTATATAATAAAAAGAAAAAACAAACATCACGTGTACATGATCTATACAAATACGAAAATGGTATTGGCTAGCTTAAGTCACGCGCTGAATTGTGATTGGTTGCACAAAACCAAGTTTGTGTGACGTAATTCCGTGCGTCTGTCCTGTAATAGATCATGATTCCCGACCAATGAAATCGCTTGAATTCTTAAGGTTATTATATAAATACGAATATCTCATGATATTTATAATGAAAAATCATGATGAAACCATCATAAATATCAGTTGCAGTGTTTAACTCCACACCACCTTGCTTTTTGTCTCATACAGTTGTAGATAACCATACATATATAATTCTTGACTTCGTTATAGCGGCATCTCATGATTTTCCTAGACGATAAAAATGATACTGTCATAATTGTCTGACACATTGTCGCGGACACCGTTATAATTATACTGAACTATAATATACTGCATAACCATTCCTGCACCAGCATTTTTAACCAGCACAATATATCCCAGCTTATAAACAGACCCCTTCTTTTCATATTCGTATAGGTTTATCAGGGTCTGTAGAATAGAGCAAAAGTTAATTATTAAGAAACTGAGATACAAATTGACATTACTTCAAAAATCCTCGTACTGTACATTTCTTCAAAAATAAAAAACTAATATCCTGCCTTATTTGTAAAATCCCCAAATAAAAAAATCCAAGAAAATAATTCTTGGATATATTGCAGAGTATTTAAATCACAAAACTTTCCGTCCGTTTTTCAGAGAAACACACCTACTAAAGTGTGGCGAAATGCCCCTGGCTCAAATAATTAAGTTTCAAACGACATTGTAAATTTTGTAAATTTCCGTTAAATATTGCCACTCACATAAAGAAGTAAGGATAACATCGTGTCCAAACAGTTTCTTGATTCTTGCTATGTTCAACGACCAGATTACCCAGTAATTGAATCCCTGAGGAAAGAACCTGTTTCACGCAATCTACATCTGCATAAGTTAAAGGCAACAAACATAAACTCGGAATGCATAAAATCATTAGTCATTGGGTTTCCACAGTTTGACTTAAAATATGAAATATTCGAACGCAAAGCAATTAAAAGAAAAACGAACAATATATATATACATAGATAAGTAAATAAATGAATGGGTATATGGATGAATAGAAGCCTACAGTAAAATATAAAAACACAGTTCATGGACAAACGCAAGACAGCAAACGAGTGCACTTACCTGAATCTTGATAAAGTTTTAGAACTTGTTCCAATATTTCAATTACAGTAGATAGCAATCCACGAGACCTGGTAAGGACAATAACAACCATCACACGACCAATTTAAAAGATTGATTGTTCATATTAATATGGAAAACCGGATATAGGTATAGCATACAAAAAATTGGATATTGCTAAAATCTAAATGTAGCTTTCTACTGTATAATGTGGGCACAGCATGCACTGCATGCATTCACTGACAACAAAAAGTCGAACATGCATAATAATGTCAGGAACTAATTTCTATAATTTAAAAATTTTGCATTTCTTCTAGCGATGTCCATTGCTATTCAAAAGACAAGTAAAATAATCATCATAGTATCGAAATTTCTCTGACTCTGAGGTTTTGTTGCGAGTTCTATACGTTGAGTTATCACCTACATAACGTAGTCTTGATTTTTCTTTGAACCAACACAACAATTTCGTAGCAAATGAAAAGCATCTACTTGAATATTACAGCACTTATCAAAATCTAAAACACGCGAGTTTTCAATGAAATTTCTGCACTGCTCTACGATGTTTTCTGTAATACGGGACCTATAAGATGCAAGAAGCTCATGTTTTATTACTGTAAATTAATCCAAACATTTCCCATTCCAACGCATAAAAGTAACACCTAAAACAACTAAGACTACCAATGAAAGCTACCAAAAACTATTAAGACTACAAAGAATATCAAGACCCTAAGACTGCCAAGAATATGGAGACTAGACTACCACGACTATAAAAACTTACACGATTGCCAAGACTATCAAGACTACGGGGAATTCTTGCACGAGTTTCACTAGGGCATTATGCAATGAATCTGACGGGGGGTCAACCTTAAATGTATTGATGTTTATGCTGTACTGGAGTGAGAAAATGATACGAAATTCCATGTATTTGCCACCAAACACAAGGCAAATACATATAACGAACCATCGACTCACTCTGATAACTGTGTTTTGTTTTAGAGTTCCCCGTCACTTCTGTAACGTCATATGAAACCCAAGAATACTAAGACTATCAAGAGTTTCAAGACAATCACTTGATACTATCAAGTCTATCAAGACCACCAACTAAAACTATCAAGACTATACCAAGACTAACGAGATTATCAAGACAATCACGATCACGTAGACTATCAACACTATCAACATTATCAAGACTATCAAAACTACCAACTGAAGACTATCAAGACAACTGAAGACTATCAAAACTGCTCGACGCCAACCATGGTGGGGCCTCGAGGAAGTTATGCAACCATTCTCAAACGTACTCTGCCTTCATTACCGCGCAACTGCCATTTACGACGGAAAAGTTCCCAACACAAAAATAATACTTTACTTCCTTTACAGTCTGGCGACTGGTTAATATTTCCAAGCATATGTAGGACAATTTGAGATACAATACTTAGAGACATTGTGATGAGTAATCTGTAAAGATGTCTGAAACCTTCTAGGCAGTGCTGTAAAAGTTATTTATTTTTTGAACTAGTTACAGTTACAGTTACAGTTACAGTTACATGCTCAAAAAGGGAACTACAGTAGTTACCAGTAAAAGTTTACACATAAAAAATGTAACTAGTTACCGTTACAAAGTTACTTCACGATTTTTGTAACTAGTTAAAATGTTACTTTCAATTTTTTGTAACTTGTTTAAAGTTACATCTGCAGGTTTTAATAATTACATTGACAACGAGTTCAGTTAAATTACTGTAAAGAATAAGATAATCCAACTGCAAGCCGGTAAATTAGGCATTTGACAGGAGTTATTAGAGTAAATCAGTTTTATTATCGACCACATTAACATAATAAAAGTTGATTGTGTGAAGAAAATAACAAGTACTGTATTGCTCGTTTGTAATCGACGCCATCTTGGTTGATTTTCTTTGTAATCGACGCCATCTTGGTTGATTTTCGTGGCAACTAAAAATCTATATTCTTCATTCTTTGTCGTATTGTGCCAGAAATCGTATAAACTATCCATTATACAGTAAGATGTTTTCAAAACAAACCAAAAATATTAAAGCAACTCAACTATTTCGATGTAAACGGCTGGACAAAATTTTAAAATCAACCAAGATGGCGCCTAATGACACGTAGTGACGTCATGTGCAAGCAAAGAATTTTAAGGTGAAAATGTAACGAAAAAGGTAACGTAAATGTTGGTCAGAGAAGTAACGCGTTATCGTTCCATTTTAAGCCAAAATGTAAATTAAATCATTAATAGTGATTTAAATAATTAAATCACTGCGCGTATATATCTTGAGATACATAATATCAGGATATCATACTGTAAGTGTAGCGTGTTAGTGAGTTTTTTAAAGAACGAGAAGAAAATACATGGCATGTATACGTGAAAAAGCTAGGGCTACATTAATAAAATACAAAAGTAAATCTTACACCAGTAACCATTTTTATACAGGGTCGGAACTACTGGGGTGTGAGGGGTGTAACACCCCCCCCCCAAAAAAAAGAAAAGTAAAAAAGGGGGCCCAACATGCCCAGAGGGGGCCCCGGAATGCTGGAAACGCGTTAAATATTAAGGAATTTTCTGAACAATTGAAGTCGAAAAAGGGCTGAAAGAGTTCCTGTCCCTGGGGAGGGGCAGGGGATTTGGTGGGGGAGGGGCAGAGGATTTAGTGGGGAAAGTGGTCAGTTTTGGTTGTAATGTGTCCCCATATTCATAAACAGGGGTGCCGGAGCGGCTATAAACATGGGCGTACCTGGCGGGGGCAACCCCAGTTTGTTGGGCAATTCTGTCAATTCTGTGGTCAATTTTGTGATGTCTGAAAAATTTGTATGATGTTCCGAAAAATCTCACCAAAATTAATTTGTTCCGGAAAAATTTCGGGCAAATTTCTTTCCACCCCCCTAATTTTTTTTCCTTCCGGTACGCCCATGGCTCTAAAAGTGGGGAGGGCACACTTAGCGCCTGCCAAAGGTGGGTTGCATTCTAAGGAATGGAATTTACAGAGATTAGAAGGAGATTTACAGAGTTCTAAACATAACATAATGTCATAAAATATCTCTTAACTGAAACTAAAATAATATCAATTAATTTAATTTGTGGTTTATTATTAAAGACCATGTAAAGTCCGTAATGTAAACAAACACTTTGTTTACATTTTGAACTCATGCAGTGCTACAGTTGTAAAATATGATTAGATATATATTATACTGAATTTTTAACACTCTTCTGGTTCACTAAGCTTGTAAATTTTTATGAATACAGACTAGAGATTCAATTCAAGAAAGTTCAAAAGATACAAATTACATTCTGCACAGAACGTATGCGCAGAACAGACTTTACATGGTCTTTAATCATTGTTAAAAAGTGGGAGGGGGGGGACATTTAGGCCACCCCAACCTAAAAAAGTGGGGGGGGGGGCGCCCCTTTATTCCACACCTAAACCAACTGACGTCACTCTCCAAAATATAGATGGTTCGCTGTGATTGGTTGATCAGAGGGAATGGAATGTGCAGCTCGGGTCAGCAGACGTTAGTTTTTCGTCACTTGGCAATAAGAAATACAACGTTGGCGAGCAGGCTATATACTCCAGGTGATCTCGTGTTCGTATTTTAGCCAATCAGCGCTCAGAAAGGGTTGTCCGAATAGAAATCCATTTTGATGTATTCAATCAATTATATCTTTCATTATTCTTTATGAAACTAGTTGAAATTTTGAGTATAATGCATTAATACTATTTTACCGGGGTTCAGAGACATCAGACATGCGGGGACATTGATTAATTACCCTTTCCCTGGGGGCGAGGACAATTTCCCTCTTCTACTATCCCTCTAAGTCAAAATCCCCGCCCCTCCCTGGTTGGGGGGGGAGGGGGATTTACATTTACATTCAATTTGACTGTTACTGTTACAGACTTACAGTTACCTAAAAAAGTAACGATTACTTGTAATTTCGTTACTTGTAACGAATTTACTTACAACACTGCTTCTAGGTATCTTAAATGGTGAAACTGTGGTGAAATATAGCTTGAAACTCTTCACCGTCGGAAACTGGGAAAATACTGTATGCTGAAAATATATATTTATGAATCTATGTTTTTCAGTTTTTATAAAGGCTCAACAATTCTACCTGTATTCTTCATCTTTTGTAAATAATTTCAAACCAATAAGAGCGCTTTCCACATCATCCCATTTGACACAAGAAACACAAATGTCGCTGTTAACACTCAAAATATTACACCAATATTTCCACTTCTCTAAATCCAAATTTTCCGCCATATTGCTTTTTGCAAAAATATCCCTCTGTGCCCTTAGTTCAGCTTATTAGATCCTATGAAATCCTGTA